CTCCACACACAAGGGAAAAGTAGCAATCTGAATTTGGTTAGGAGCGGGGTGTCGGGTGAGCACCAGAGTTATCCGGGCGTTAGGTAGACTCAGAAGTGCTCTTCTCCCCATGAGCTGGAAACCCAACCTCCTGCTTGGATCTGGGAGGCAGCGTAGGATGTGAATTAGGAATCGAGCCTCTTGCAGGCGGAGGTTGTCCTGCCCCAGCGCCATGTCACTGCCCTTTTTCTGCTCCCCGTTTTCAGGTCGACAAGGTGCCTGGCCTTCCCCAGTCCACACCAAGATTTCACATAGAGAAACCCACCTGGGGGAAGATAGAGCTTCTCCAGGTGGTGCAAGGCTGGGCTGACTTCTCCACTCTATCTCTCTGCTCTTTCTCCAGAGGGGACCCACACAAACCTTAGAGGTAGGCAGAAGCCTTCCTCTGATTCCCTTCCAAATTTGGGCTAAAAATCAAATGGGATCATGGTATGAAATCTCTAAATTTCTATAGATTTATAATCTATAAAAGATAACATATAACTGAAATATTTCCCCCCGGCCCAAACTGTCACATAGAAGATGCTCAATAAATGTTTAATGATTGAGGAACGGAGTCCCTGAATTGGAACTTATTGTTTATCTGCAGAGAAAAATTCAATGTATTCTACTTCCTTTTGCTCATTTTGTTAGAAGCTCCTGACTGCATGATTTAATTGTAATATTCACACGCTGTTATCTGTGATATAAGGTGCAGTCAGCAGTAATAGGAGTAGCTAAGGACAAGGATGGCAAGTATGGAAAGAAATATCCGATGCAAATTTTATGACCTGAACAAATTTTTACAGATCTAATGATCTTTGAAAGGTATCCAAGAGGCTCTTATTTACTTAAGTATTTATAATTTAAACCCAAACAAGAAAACCAATCAAGATAATACAATTGACTCTAACTTAATAAAGACAAATTTTTCTTCCCAAACCAAAATTTTCCTCCTGTGATATGCAGCAATTGATCATTTTCTTATCTGGCCCATAAATGAATTCACAGTAAGTCAAAGAAATTCAACCGGAATTTTAATGTTATATTAAAATTATTTATAATT